CAATCTTGATTTGTTATATATATATACATAATAACAGTTGCATAATGAGGGTACTTACACACTCAAAATTAATACTATGCAAATTCTGTCTTTAAACTATTTTTAAATGTTCGAACTCCCTCCTTCAGAGGTTTTTCGAACTCGTGATCTCTGACTCTTACTCGAACCTTGTTCATTGAAATTCATAGTCTAACATTTTAAGGGTTATAAATTTTTTTTAAAATCTGTATTCTTAAATATAGCTACTCTTAACTAAGTAATGCTTTTGGCAACAGCTCAACGTGCACTGGAAGGGGTCATGGAAATCAGGGCTCCACAATATTTTGATCAACAGCATAATGGTGGCAGGGTGGTTAGCATTGCACAGCTACTCTTAACTACTTTGGAAATGAATTATTGACATTTATCAAGGTCCTTCCTGTGTGTTCCCAATTTTTCATTATTTTATTACATTTCTAAGGACATTGATAAATAATTTCTCTTTTAAAAAGATTCTCTCCTGTATTTTTTTAAAATGTTTAGAAATTTATAAATTAAATTTTTTAATCTTTGTACTGTTAAAGATCAGATGCTAGTAAACTGGATTCTTCATTGTCACTTATTAGGACTAATTAATTTTCTTATAAGCAGTTTTTATTTTTTTAAAAATTAAATTTGTCAATTTAACTGAGGTTTCTTTCGTTAAAATTTATGTTACTAACATTCCATCATTGTAAGATTATTTTACAGTTTTTCAAATACTAAATTTTATTATTGTAAAGGAATTAATTCAAGTAACATTTAAGCAAAAGTATTGTTATTTTATTGATTTTTTTTGCAGTTTTTGTTTTCCTTTTTATAAACTTGCAGTAAATTTTATTACTGTAAAAGAATTAAGCAGCATTTAAACTAAAATATTGTTTGTTATTAATTTTCTTCTCCTAAAATTGTTTTTAATTTTTCAAAGCTTGTAGTCTGTTTTATTATTTTAGATGAATAAGCAGTAAACTGTAATACTGTTTATTTATTAATTTGCTGCAAATATTTTTTATTTTTTCTGTTTTGCATGCTCATACCTGAACTATGAAGAAATTAACATTTTCGGTTAACATTTAATTACATTTCATTAAATATAAATTTTCGTTTAAAAATATTTATGGTTTTAAATTCCATATTTAAGTTAAAGTTTCATGTAGGACTCAAAATTGTTGGTGGTCTTTTGATTAAAAACCGCTAAAATTTGACTTGAACAACAATTGATGTAAAAAGATGGTATGTTGTTGTGTGGTTTCTTTTTTTTTCCGGTTAAGTCAATGTTTTTGTCACAAAACAGTATATTTTACCATAATTGTGAATATTATACATTTTCTGCATTGTAATTCTTCATTTTAATTAATTTTATGAACTTTTTTTTAAAAAGAAAATCTAGTTAGGGCATGTAAACTGTTTCATTAAAATGTGAATGGATCTCCAGACTAGTGACTTGCTGTTCTTAATTTCTACCCTTGCTTTTATGGGTTTGTTTTCTGTGTTCTAAACTGTTAAAATATTTGTGTTTTAAGTTGAAAATAAGATAGTGTATGATTAAAATAGATTCCTTCCCTTAGTTGATATTTTAGTGAACAGCTCCTTACTTATTTGACAATATTTTAAATTAGACTATATTCTCTTAGTTTCTGAGATATATATATTTATATTAAAATTCGTATCTTTTAAAAACAATTTCCATAAAAATGCTATTGGTTATTTGTTTCTTTGTATAAAAACATCTTCTTCTTCCTTATCCCCAAAGTTAGCAGGGCTAAACAATGTCCATGAAACTCATGACCCGGAGGAAGATAATAACATAATATAAATAATAAATTTTTGATAAATAAATTTTATCCTGAAAGTGTAATTATGACATTTCTAAATTAAAAATATATATCACAGAAAGTGAATGACTTCTTTACTGACATAACAGCAATTTGGGAGCCAAAGCCTTCATTGGAATCTTTTTCCATTCTGCTTTTCCCCTCACCAGAGTGTTCCAGTTGTACACTGTCCAGTGCTTCAAATTCTTTGTGAATGCCATCAACCCACCTTAGACCTTTTGTACAAGTTCCGATCAGTTTAATGTGAAAGATTCTGGATGTTAAGAAGGATGAATCAGTTTTGCTGATACATCCTGCAAATTCGATGTGATTTACTTTTATGCAATTGGTAATATTTACCTCTCTATACAGCCCAAACAAATTGTAATTGCATTTGTGCCGCCTTGTACCATTGATATTCCCTACACCCAGAATTCTTCTCAAAAATTTTCTCTCTTAAATAGCTAGTCAATTTTCTTGTAATTTCCTCATGTCAGGTTTCTGAACTATATGTGAGCTAGGTTGTAATTATGGTTTTATATAATATGATTTTCATTTTCCTTTTTAATCTGTTGCAAGATTTTTATCAGTGTTCCATAAAATTCTTAGTTTAAATGTTTATCCCTATTTATGAATTTAAAAATATTCTCTAATTTATTTTTTTGTATACGTTAGAATATGATGCTTTAGCAAGAATCATCGCACAGCAACCGGATCGAAAAGAGACAGAAGCTAAGCTCAAAGCATTAAATGAAGAAATTGAAAGTCTTGCTGTGTCCAAAATGAATTTAGAGAAAAAATTAGATAAAAGACATAAAGAGCTTCAAGTGCTACTGGGTGCAGCATATGAATTGCAAAAATTTGTTGAAAAGAGTAAGCATTGAAATATTTTAACCCTCTATCATTTACTTACTTTTTCACCTGATCCTACAGCTTAATGATCAAATGTGTTGCTTATTGTTATTATTGAGATCTATATTATTTGAAGATACATCCCTTTAGGGTATTTTATTTTACAGTAAAGAATTTCGAATTTTTGCTGAAATAATTATTTGGTTTGCAGTGATTTTGCTAGATTTTGAGAAACTACAAAACCCTTTAGCTCCTTTTAAGTATTTAGGACTAAAAACTTCCAAATTTATTCATAATTTTTTGCTGAAAGGAGGTCCATATTTAATATTATATAAATCTCTAATTATAGGTACAAAGAAAGAGTACATTAAAAGAAGTAAATATTTTATCATTAGGGGGAAAATTGGAACCAGTAATTGATTTTGTAATAGTTCAACAAATATTAAAACTAAAATTTCTGTATCAATTATCTTTAAAAAGTTGGAAATCAGACTTTTCGAAAGATAATAAAAGACATACTCTCCTTTTTAGTGTGTTCTTAATTCGTAATACTGAATTGGTCATTTAAAAAAAAATGTTTGCTAATGGCAGGATAAAACAGGTATATCAGGCAAAATTAGATAATACTACTAATAATTTACTTCTTGTATGTAAAAATACTCAAAATTTGAGCAGTTACTAATAACTTTGAGTCAACAACAAATAGGTAAATGTATTCCCATAAAGAAATATAATCAATGATCTGGGATATGGATCAGAGAATATATTTTTTACTTCTTTTTGCATCCATTAATATGTCCATTTATAATTACATTCTATCAACTAAAGAATTTCAAAACAAGAAAAAAGTATTTGAATATTTAAGGCTTTTAATTACGACTGATCAATCACCTGCATCAAGCAAAAGCACCCATGTAATTTAATACTCAGAATTATTTTAACTTTCTCTTTCTAATACAGAAGAAAAAGAAATTTTGTTCCATTTTTCTTTTAAATGTTTGGTTCAATTTTGCTGACATAACTATTTTATTTATTTATTTTTTTTTGAAGCGGGGAATTGCTTTTCCCAGAGGATTTGTTCCTTTTATGATTTTTAGCATACATAACCTGTTATAATGCGTGAAAATAATCACTGTGTCTGAAAACCTCCTACATAAAAAAAAAAAAAAATTACATTTTAAATCATTTAAGACAAATTTCTTGAAATGCTCTGTTTTTCCATTCAGGCCATTTATCTTACTCATAAAGGTGTACCAATGTGATGCTAGGTTTTAATTTTACGATTTGTGTTGTTTAAATGTTATTTTAAATTAAATTTTATATTATCACAAAGAATTACTCTAGCAAATAAGAAATTTTTTCCTTTAAAACTATTGCAAATAAAAGAATTTTATGAATTATTTACAAATAAATCTCTTTTCTTCACATATTTTTGAATTTATTAAAGTGATGATTTTTTGAATAAAAAATACATTAGTGTTAAAAATGCAGTCTTTAATTAAAACAATACTCATTTACTTAAAAAAATGTGTATATATACTTGTTTCTTAGTCAGTTTTTGTTAATGCTCTTTACAGTTATGATCTAAAAAAAAATTATTATTAAAATTCTTTCTTTGCTTATACATTTCTTAAGAAGCAAAGTTTTGAATTTCTATCAATTCAAGGTATTGCTTTAAAAAAAGATTAAAATTTTCAGTAAAAAATTTTAAACAGTATAACTTATAAATATTTAAATGTACATCCATATTTTGAGATATATAATTGACTCACATGCTTTGAAGAAGACAGAGTTTGTTTCGCTGTTTTTTTTTCTTCTGCATCAATTAAGTTGGCTTAAAATTAAGTAATGCACACAGATAGTCATTTTAGTTAGTTAGATAAGATATCTTATAAATTAATGTACAGGGCCAACGCTAAGCATTCGCCACCTTACCAAATGCTATAAAATCGTAAATTTGGTGAATAAAATTGTGTTTTGGTGAATGATTTTCTTCTACTGGAAAGAAAAATATATATTTAACTTGATCCTCAAAAATCAAGTTTGAAAGAAACTACTGTAAAATAGTTTTCTATGGGGAAAAAAATTCATCCTAAAAAATTATTACGATTTGCATTTGAAGATTTTTCAAAAATTGGTGAATAGGTTTGATATTTGGGTGATTTAATAGCTAATAATTTAAAATCCTTAGCGCTGGCCCTAGTTAACTAGCGGAATATCTGTTCTTCATACAGAGTGAAAGTAAATATTCATTAAATCTGTGGAAATCAAAGCTACAAAATTATGTATGAAACTAAAATGTATCAACAAAATTAAGTATTATCGATATCAATCATACTATGTTGATTTTTTTCAGTTCCTCAGGCGAATGAGTACCTTTTCCTATTATTTTCTATTTAGTATGTAACTTTTTTTCTTTTTATTTCAAATACCATTGTTTTTAATTATATAGTTTTATAAACACTTCTTTTAAAAGCATGACTTTATACAAAATAAACTTGTGGTTTTATATAACTTTAGAATTCATAAATATGGTTACAATGCCATTTATGTTGATCATTGAGCTTACTTGGCATAACGTATACAAAATCAGCAATGTGTTGCCAGTTTAATTGCCCTTGAAGCGATTGAATTAGAGAGTCCAAACTATTTTATACAGGGCAAAAGAACGCTTTCACACTATTGTTTTCCTTACTTAAACAACTCTGAAATGGCAGATCTTTGCAACAAAATATGTAAACTTATGTAATATGTACAACCCAAAAAAATATGTAAACTTAGAGATATATTATAAAATATTTTTTTAGACAAAAAGAAATGAATGCTCAAATAAAAAAAAATTAGATGACATCTATTTTAAGATGCAATAACTTTGAGTTTTTTCCTGAACCCTATAAATCAGATTTTCTTTTAAATCAAGTAATTATCAGGATTTAAAACATTGAAATCCTACTTTCTAATTTTTTTGTTTCTTAATATTTTTTTCTTTTCCAGATGATGATTCGTGTTCAGATTCTGACTGATGTGAAACTTCATAGAAATTTTCATTTCTTGTCATTAATTAACTGGACTTTAATTTCATATCCTGTGATATAGTCGACATTTTATAAACATATTCAATATGAAGTGTTGTAAAAATATTTTCTTCATTATGTTTATATATCCGCATTTGTTTTATGTATAAAAAAAATAAACATAAATTTAAATTCTTTTAGTTTATTATTTATCTATTTTATCTCAATATTGATTTTACTCAAAGAATAAAATTGAATCCTAGATGAAATTTTACATTGAAGGATAAATCATTAATACCAGTAATCCAGAGCTCATTCTAGGCAGGGTAAACAGGGCGCAGCACCCTGCTGCCCTTTTAGTCAAAAGAATCCATCCTGTTGTCCCTGGAGTAAATTAGTGCCCTGATGTAATAGACTCCATACACTTTTTGCCCTTTCTTTCCGCAACCCTTCTTTATTTTTTCCCCAAACTCTACAATGGATTTCTTAAACTTTTGTTATTTTCAACTCTTTTTATTTAGTTTGTCATTGCTGTCAATACATAGATTTATATGAGAAAGGAAAAATAGCCATCACACCCCCTTGTTGCACTTGTCTTTGAAAGTTTGCAGTTACTTCCACTATCATTAAATCATAATTATTATTAATCATTTTAATTATTAAATCATAACTACAGACACTTAAAAACATACATTTATTATTTTATTAATATATGCATGCATTTTAAATAAATTACTAAGCTAATTAGCTCATTAACTCAATATATATATATGTTAATTTATTAATAAAAATGAGAAATTAATATGATTGCTTTGCTACTTTTAATAAAGTGGGGAAAAAATTGACAATGTTTTTTAATAGAACGTGTAAAGCCCATAGAAAGAAATTATTGCCTTTTTGGAATAATAATTCCATTTTTTTTAAACTTTTGCACCCTGCCCTTTTTTCTGCCTAGAATGAGCTCTGAGTAATCATTACTAGTCATTAAATTATTGTTTTGAATTTTTGTTGTAATATTTGTTGTAACTAGTGGGCATCGCCGCCTGCTCACTGACCCATGAAGATTGCTATGCAATCTTATATGGATTACTTTGCTGACCATGCTTGCTACACTCACTACTAGGTTAAGCCCATTTGGAATGTGTTCTAGCATAAAATCTTAAGAATTAAATCAATTATTAAAATTAATTCCTCTTTAAAAAAATTACAAATTTTTAGTCAATAAGTTATTGGAGTAAAAAATTTTTAATTAAAATAAATGACATGCACTAGATAAACTTAAAGAAGCAAAACAGTAATTATGCTTTTGAAAAACAATCTATGATGGCACATCTATGCATTCATTCATTATTACGGCTTTCATAAAAAGTTAAAATTTTCTTCTGCTCTTCCTTTTTTTTAATTTTTTATTATACTGTAAAACCTCTCAGAAGCGACCACTCTCCTTTCCACACTAAAATGGTCGATGATGGGGGTTGGTCACTCTTAAAGGTTACCTCCATTGACTTTAAAATTGTTATTTTAATTTCATTATTTTAATAATTTTTTGCAAAAGATTTTAATTTTGGTGACTGTCATTTTCTTGGTGCGGAAATGCCACTTCTGTTGGCATCATGAAAAGACAGATCAATGAATAAAATTAATTTCCTATAAAAATGATCCCAATTGATATAATATACGTGTAAAAACAAATTTACTAATTATGAATGATAAAGCTATTTTATAATAAACAATTATTAATTAAATAAATACACAATTATATTTTTTGTTTATGTTTGCATTTAATTTTATATTACGAAAATTAGTTACCTTTAAAAGATGAGAAGAGGTATGTTTGTTTATTCTAAAAAAACTTTTTTTTTCTAATTTAACTTTCAACTCTAGAAGTAAATCATTGATAGCATTGTCTTTAGTTGCACTCTGACTGAAACATGAGGTTGTATTGTTAAAATGAGTTCTCTAAATAAGAGCCTCACACAAATATTTTGAATACATTTTAATCTAACAATTAGTTTTGTTACATTTTTTGTTCTGAAATTTTTTCGTATTTCCATATTTGACCTTTTCTGCATTTGGTGTAGAGATTTGCTCTGGCAATGGGAGAGGATTTAATTCTTCTAAAGGCTTTCTTTCTCCTGTAAGATTCCCCTGAAGAGGATTAATAAGGAGAGGATTTAATTCTCCCAAAGGTTTTCTTCTGCAGAAAGTCTGTCGAAAAACTTCTGTCCCTCCCAAACGCAGTCGTAAATAGAGATGGTCTTACCTGGAGGTTTCATTGTGCTTAAAACATGTAACAGCGATACTAATACTCAATTTTTCAATTAATGCTAAATCTGTACAGTAATAAAAGTATTATGTATAACTCTTAGTTTGTTGGTATGAACTAATCTCTTTAAATCCTTTCCAACTTTTTTCTCAGTTCGTTTCAGCTTTTCATTGTTCATGAGAGAATAGAATTTTCATACAGAAATTTGTAAACATGCATGCTTATGGTATCTCCCATGCTTGTTACTTCAATTCTTTTTCTGACTTCACAAAAAAATGATGACTTTCTGTGTCATTGTGTAAGACAAATATACATATATTTGTTCCATACTTACTCACACTCCATAACTTTTTTTTGTAACAGTCATTGAATAGCTGGCTACTAATGTTCAACTCCGTAGCCTTGTATTTTTGAACCCAATTCAGAAGACAAGGGAGATTAGATCAAGTATTGGGTGAAATCTGCCTTCATAGAGGACTTTTTGATGGGACTAACCTGCATTTGTATTAAATAGAGCGGAGGAAAACTTCCCAAGGTTAGCCTGACGGCAAGGAAACTCTAACCGATGATCCGTCTACCACTGAGGATAATTTACGTCAGCGCTGCGGTTGGGGCGAACTGGGTGCGGAATTTGTATCGACCAACCATCACTAGGATTAGAACCTGGTTCACCTCATTGGAAGGGGAATGCTCTATCCCTTGAGCCACCACACCTCTTTCCATTACTTTTTATATTTTATATCCATGGTTGAACAACCGACCTGATTTTGGGTTGACTACTAATGTTCAACTCTGTAGTCTTGTAATTTTGAACCAATCCAAAAAACAAGGAAGCTCCTGGATCAGAACCCCCAGAGGTATTGATTTGTTATGGGAACATGAGGACTTAGCGACTCGACAGATTTAACGTGCATCAGTCATCATCTTCCATTACTTTGAAAATATTGGAGCAACTTAATTAGATTCTTAAAATTGTGCTTTTCTTTTTTTTTATTATCTTTATAACAAAACATGTTATATTTACCTCTAACTATCATATATCGCTTTATGTATCGTCATAACAGGTATGAGTCGCTTTTTTTTCTTCCTGAAAACCTAGTTTCCATGACCTGTTGTGATATAATCACTTCCAGGATCAGTTCAACTCATTAATAAGTTTTGTTTTGATGTGAGTTAAAAGCATAGGAATAGCTTACTTCTTTTAAACTTCTACTTCTTTCTGATATATTCTCTTAAAATTTCAATTTCTTGCAAAGTTTTAAGGGTGCTGGGACAATTCCTATAATTTAAAAATTAAATCCTCTGAACATCAAATATAATCTGTTATATCTTTTTTCTCAGAGTAAGCTTAAGTGGATATCAATAAATAGACCTGCCATGAATGCTATCAATAACTATTACTTTGCCAAAATAATTAATCAATCCATAAATTAAATTTTAATATCTATTAACTATTTCTAAGAAATAATTAATAGATGTTCTTGTTCTTAGAAATTCAAAATGTGTTGACAGTGGAAAATAATACTGACTCTTTTATAAAAGCAAAATGTTGCGGCAAACCTTTTGTCCTTAATTTTTTATGATCTATTTATGCAATTGATTTCCACTCTAATATATTTACACTGAGAAGGAAAATTTTATGGGTCATATTTAATCAGAGGTAGGATTAAATGAATTACTTATTTAATTTTTTGGAAATATGCCACAATTTCGGCGTGACATTCTCTGCTAAGCTGTATTTTCTAAAAATCCTTTAATTTTATAAAAATGTAGAAAAGTTTTCTAAATTTAATGTAAATTCTACATAATTGAAATTTTTTTTATATCTCCAGTAACTACTTTCTTTGATTCATTGATGCTAACAGCAGATTAATGATACTCCAATATAAAGAAAAGGTAGAGAAAAAAAAGAATTTCTATAACTCTCTACTTTAAGAACTGTAGTTTTCTAATTGTCTGAAAGTTGTGCAACATGATACCCTAGATCAGCAGTTCCCAACAGGGACGCCGGGATGAGAGGTCGCTGCGACCTCTCAAAGATTTTCACAATTAGGCAATTCTTGTCTGGCCATTCGGTGCATTTACGATATTTCATTTTCTCTCACTTCTTTTTAAAAAACGCAATAAAAAAATTATTGAAAATTATGTCTTTATTCAATTCTATTAAATAAATAAGAAAAAAAATATGCACAAGTATCCATTTAACCATTCTACATCGTTTTGGGACAAAGATATCAAATATTATCCTTTAATTTAGGGGAAAAAATTGGAATTGTTTTAATGAGGGAGCTCGGATTTACAGAATATTCTATTTCTATTCAGTATTCGACGAAATTTGCCGATCACCAAAGAAAAACAAAGATGTCAAATATTATCCTTTAATTTAGAAAAAAAAAATTGGAATAGTTTTAATGAGGGGGCTCGGATTTACAGAATATTCTATTCGGTATTTGCCGATCATCAAAGAAACATAAAACTGTTGACTCTTTTTTTTAAAATTAGTTTCGGAATATTAAAATTTTAAGAAATTTTGGTTTTTTATATACAATTTAGAAAGGTTTGCAACGTGATTGATCAATCTCTGAAGTATTTGTTATTCGGTTCAGGGGATAGTGGAAAATTAAGTCTGCATCTTAGCTGCGAATTAATTTCTTTTTTTTTTATTTTATGTTTTTATAAATTCTTTCATTACTTGTTTTATTTTTTTGATATTTAACTAGACAAGAATAATTCAGAATAAAATCGTTGAATTAGAAATATATAGGTGGAAAAAACTGCCAGGTTGACAGAGCAATATCAACAATTTCTTTTTTATTGATGAAACAAATAATTAACCTTTTTTTTTCCATTCTTATATATAATTCATTCTACAAAAATTACGACTTTATACTTATTGGAATTTGAAAAAAGAATCTATTTTAAAAGTGTC